CCCTTGGTGGAGCCGTCCTGGAGCATGCAGGCTGGGTTCCTCCTGGGTCAAACTGGACGGGAAATCTACCTGAGATGCACACCTGATACTCCCCAGTGTCCGAAGGGTGTCCAGCCCAGGAGACTGGGTGAAAGTTGGTCTGAAGTAAACCTTCTTGAAATGGGCACAGTGGGGATATGAAGTCATCAGCGCCAGCCGTAGAGCTCTGCAGAAATTTTTAACAGCACAGAACTGCTAGCCAGTGTGAAGAGAAGCAACAAGTGCTTGCCTCAGTCAAGAAACCTCCAATTTCAGGGCTAAAACCTGAGCCAGTGCCACAATATTTGACACCACACCCCCCCCCTACAAACAGTGCTCCAGTGATGTCCATTCTCCCCCCGCCAAACAGACTGCATCTCACTCAGCCCCTGCACATTGCTCAGCTCATGGGGTTTCTCTAATACCTGGGAAAAAGGATTCCTTGAAGAGCCCTGCAGCACAGATTAGGCCAATGTTCCTGACCTGATAAGACCCTTCAGAAATCTTCCTGGGGCTGACGGCAAGCTGCAGGAGGGAGCAGAGGGACAGAGTGGACAACAGCAGCTTCCCGAGGATCCAGTTCCAGCCAAGCTGGCTCCAGCAGCGGGCTCTGCTCCTGCCACATCCCGAGGGAGATTCCACACTGCAACCAGCGCAGCCCAGCCCAGCTTGGCCACCAGTCACCCTCTGGAGCTGGGCTGGCGGGGCTGTGCTTGAAACCTTACAGGTACTGTGGCTTGGGGTCACCTGCATTCTGGGAGACGCTTCCTGGGGTTTTTTACCATGTGGCTGTAAACATCTTAGGAATTGAAATTCCTGATATTTTTCTATCTTCATTCCACCTCCTTCCTGCCAGCTGCCTCTGGTGGTGCTGCCTTACCTAAAGTGTCATTCCTCCACGGAGAACAGTGGGACAGAGAATGCGACTGCCAGGCAAAGGCAATGTGAGAGACAGGAGCGTGCCTGCAAGCTCCACTGACTGGGGGCTGTTCGGCACTTGCTGCTGCTGCTCAGGAGCAGCCGTGGCAGAAAAGGCAACAAATTACTGCCCGAACCCCAAATACTCACCTGCCTCCTGCAGGTTTCCAAGCGGGGAGTCTGCACTGTAGAAAGCAGGAGATATTTATCTACTGGACAGATAAATCCCAGCAGGGAGCTTTGCATTTCCCCTGCTACTTAATGTGTAGTTAGAGAGAGAAAAAGAGACAGTTTTTAACCCTCTCGGTGCTGATGACCTCATAGACACAACTGCATTTTGCCCAGTTTTGTATCTGTTTTCTTGCAGTGTTTTTATTCACAGGACTGTGTTTGTAATTAAAATTGCATCAGCATGAATTATGAAGTACTTTCCAAACAACAGCAATCTACCCTTTCTCTACAACATTTCATCCATAGCTCTAGTACAGGCTTAGAGAGGGAAGTCAGTAACGTCATCCCCATTGCAGAGATGGAAAACGGGGAAATAACAAGGGGCAGATCTGAGAGCCCTCTACATGTTTGTTAAGTAACATCCCTGTGCTGTCTTTGTGCATTTCCCACAGTATCGCATCTCTGTGTCAAATCTTTGGCAATGCCAGTTTAAATTAAAAAGCAAGTTGCGCAAATAAAACCCCCTTCCATTACTGGGGAACCGTATCAAAGCCCGAGGCAGCCTGCTGAGAGAGTCTGGGACAGCAGAAATGGCAGAGTGTGGGAAGGGGAGTGGACAAGACAAGATAAGACAAAACTTGGAGATTCCCCAGGAGATCCTCCAGGAGATCTCCGACAACCCATGTGACTCCTTGTTGCCTCTGTTGCCACCTCCAGGCTCTTGCGACTGCCACTCCTCTCCCCATCGCTGTGCAAACCACACTCCCACCCTGACCTCCCCCAATCCTTCCCTCTCCTTGTCCCACCCCTTCCCTTTTCAATCCCTTTTGCAAGTGAACCCGGCTCTTTCCTCACTTTCCCAGCCAGGTCCGAGCTCAGTGGGTCCAACCCCACCTCTGGCTCTTGGCTCACCGAGGAGACGTGGGTTCAGACGCCCCGTGCTCTGGTTGGGGTTCTCCTTCTGTTGAAGGACAGAGGTGACCTGGGGCCTCAGCGATGGACGTTTTGGCTGGAGAGCAGTTGTTACAGTCATCGGCGAAGCACACGTTGAGAAAGAAGGCACGTTCCCTCTCTTCCCCAGCAAAGCAACGCTATGTGACTAAAGTTTGGAAAACAATATGGAGAGCGAGAATCCCACGCAGTTTTCATCAGTACCCAGGAGGAATTCATCATGCCTCCCTGCTCTGAGGCTCTATTAACTGTCTTTCTGAGAAATAGACGGCTGGGAAATATAAGAGAGCATTTTCAAGATGGTTCATTCATTTTTCTTTATTAATTTTTCTCTCAGCACAAAATAAAAAAAAAAAAAAAAGGAACATATGGAGAATGAGCAGGAATCATTTCTCAATGTCATGGCCCTCTGAAAAGAGTTTAGATCCATAGCGTGCCACTGAAAAATTCATTCATGCTTCCCAAATCACATTAGGCAGGTACAGATTGTTTTCATTTTTATGAAAATTTTTTACCCTTCTAAGCTCTAATAAAACAGAATATGACAAAAATGACAGGGGGCAAAATTGCCTTTAAGTCCCAGATGGCAACTACTCGTAACTCACTTAAATGAAAGTATTTATTTTGAAATAAAATGTGCTTTAATTTAGCAGAAATGGTTATAGGAAGATGTGTTTCATAGAGACCGAAACTATACAAGCACAGACTACAAAAAAGACACCCATTTCATTCTCAGTGTTAGTTGGTAATTGGAAGAAACTGCAACAAACTCTGCCAAATATTGCTGTCATTTGAAGACCCTGATGCAAGACAGCATGTCTTTGGTAAGATACATCTTTTAGCACAACTAGAAGTTCTGGACAAGATGCAAGAGCCCCTGAGTGCAGCACTTAGCCCTGTCTCCTATCCTCCTCGGTGGGACTCATTGTTCACTGCCTGCTTTCCACGTATTTCTGTTTTTCTCAAATAATTTATTTTTCAAAGCTAAACTTGCTTATATTATGCCAGCATGTACAGGAGCAACAGGAGCACATGCCAAGCAAAGGAAGGTTGCCCAGAGGGGTTGTGCTGCCTCCATCCTTGAAGGTTTTTAGTACCCAGCTGGATAAAACCCTGAGCAAACTGGCCTAACACTAAATGAAACTTCTCCCTACAAATCTTCCACCATCAAACATAGTGTGAATCAGTGTAGATTTACATGATCTATAATTTTTATTTTTCTCTTTCTTCCTTCTCTAGAAGTTCCTCCTGGTATTCATAGTTTTGAGCTCTGGGTTGACCTCTCTGGACAGTGATCTGCTAGGCCCCCAAAGTATTACCCCACAGTCTACTGGGCACTTGCTAATCCACACCTAGATCCCCTGTCTGCACTTGGGCCCCTGTACAAAAAAGACATCAACAAAGTGGAGAGAGCTCAGCTGAGGGCTCCCAGGGTGGCTGGGGTTGGAACAATACTCCATAAGGAGAGGCTTAGGAAAATAGGCTTATTCATCCTGGAAAATAAAAGGGTTTGGGAGGACTCACAGCTGATCAGCCTTCCTCTACCCTTAGCTAGAAGATAGAGCCAAGCTCCTCACAGTGTGGCATGGCAGGAGAATGAGAGAAAACAAACATAAGTCAAAACAAGAGATGTCCAAACTGAATAGAAGAAGAAGCTTTTTCACAGTAAGAACAATCAAGCACTGTAGCAGAGACCCAGAGAGGTTGTGCAGCACCCATCCCTGGAAGCTTTCAACACTGAACTGGATAAAGTCCTGAGCAACCTTGCCTGACCCCAGACCTGCCCTTGCTTTGAGCAGGAGGTTGGATTAGAGATGTCCTGAGGTCTCTTCCAACCTGAATTACCCTGTGATTCTGAGATACGGGTGGAGACATCAGTGTTCAGGAGCACCTGGGCCTCATGATGGAGTGGAGATCAGCCACCTTACTAGTACCTGGTGCTGCTCTAGTCGTCTGTGAAGGGTCCTGCCGTGCAAGGCTTTGTGCACCACTGCCTCGTGTAGTGAAAGCCAGTGTTCAGATTAGAGCTCACACACCCCTGGCACCTCTCACTGGAGGAATCCCAGGGGCTGTTGCGGTGGGAACAACCAACACGTCCCCGTGCATGCCAATGCAGCCACCTCAAGGATGAAGACCACAATTCATGATAACCAGCAACAAGGTAAGAGTTTAAACCAAGAGGAGAAAGAAGAGATTGCTTGTTTCTTTCTATTTATAAAGGAAACAGATTTATTTTTAAAAAGACAAAGAACATTTGGGAAAAAAAACTAGACCTGAACACTCTTTGAATCTGTACGTTTCTTTGTAAAATCCTGTTGTACAACATTCTTTCCCAGGATCTTTAACCTTTTTCCAAAATATGAAGTGGTGTCTCCATTCTTGGAGATATTCAAAAGCTGTCTGGACACCGTCCTGGGCAACCAGCTCTAGCTGGCCCTGCTTGAGCTGGTGGTTGGACAAGATGACCTTCAGAGGTGCCTCCAACCTCAACCATTCTGTGATTCTGTGATGGTGTGAAAACAAATGTAGTTTGCTTTCAGACCTTCTTCATTGGCCCAAAGGCTTGGTGGCTTTCATTGTATTAAAAGTTTTGTAGTAGTGTCCCACTGGTAGAAAAGTCGTAAGAATAAAGAGAAGAAAGGCTGTCAGGTACTCTGTTTCTTGGGGAATACCTATGAAATATAAAAAAAAGTTTGAAAGCTGAAGGTCTTGAAGTTAATTCATAACTTCTTAGGAATTCCAAGCATTTGTGAAGTCAAAGATATGAAACACCTTTGACTTAGAAATACTACCTCCTTTGGCTTGGAAGTATCACTAACATTTATAACCTGCTTATTTTTTCTCTTGAGAGGTTGTCAGTTTATTTAATATGATTATTAATTGAGATTATTTTTACAATTGCTACCAATAACTCTGGGTCTGAAATTTTTCCAGACCATCAGCTATAAGGAGGCTAAGCTGTCTTGACTGAACACCCAGTAGGTCATTGATATCTCTTGCTGCAATTATTTTACTTAGAGATCAATGTTACAGACAGTTTCTGGCAAAAATTTTGCTAAAATGTTTTTGGAAAGTGAATGTATCATAAGTGGAAACCATGAATTAACTAAATCATTCAAAAAACACTGTGGCATTCACTCAGCTCTGCCACTGTTATGGGTGAGACGGGAACAAAGAAGTGCAATGTCATAGTTTGCTGAGCCACTTTTCCTTCGCATTGTGTTACCTGCTGGATCAGAGCTGGATTTAGATCAGTGTATTAGATTCTTTTCAAGTTTGGTGAGGGTAAACACTCTTGGAAGGAGTTTACAATTGCTATTTACTTTTTGCCTTGTGGTAACACCTCAGTCTCCTACCAGGTACTAGGCGCCGTACAAATAGAGGACAGTCCTGCACCAAAGACTTTAAGTATAAAACAAGATGAGCTGGTGTGAGGATACGGGAGACAACGGCCGAGCACAAGTCACTGGGCAGTTCTGTTGTTGTATATATGAATTAAATTCAGGATCCTCCTCTGTATCTGTTTGGTCCTCACCCCGTAGATGATGGGGTTGAGCACAGCGGGCACCAGGATGTAGATGTTCCCCATGGTGATATGGACCAGTGGAGCCAGGTCCTTCCCAAACCTGTGCACCACGGACAGCCCAATCAGGGGCACGTAGAAGGCCAGGACCACGCAGATATGGGCAATGCAGGTGCTGAACACCTTGAGCCTCTCCTTCCACGACGCCAGCCGCAAGACAGCCTTGAGGATCAGGACGTAGGAGAGGCAGATGAGGACGGCGTCCAGCCCCATGACCAGCAGGATGGCGGTGAGGCCGTACACCACGCTGGGGGTGGTGTTGGCACAGGCCAGGTTCATCACATCCTGGTGCAGGCAGAAGGAGTGTGACAGCACCCGGGAGCTGCAGAAGGGAAGGGGCAGGAGGAGCAAAGGCAAAGGCAGGAAGAAGATGACTCCCCTGGCCATGGCTACCAGCCCTATTTTCACTGTCGCAGCGTTGGTGAGGATGGCAGGGTGTCTCAGTGGGTGGCAGATGGCCACGTACCGGTCCACAGCCATGGCCAGGAGGACAGTGGACTCGATGGCCGAGAGGGTGTGGATGAGGAACATCTGGACAAGACAAGCGCCGAAGCTGATCTCCCTGGTGTTGAACCAGTAGAAGGAGAGGGCGCGTGGCACCGTGGATGTGGACAAGGCCAGGTCGATGGCAGCCAGCATGCAGAGGAAGAAGTACATGGGAGCGTGCAGGCTGGGCTCCGTCTTCACGATGAACAGCACGGCGCAGTTGCCTGTGACCGCCAAGATGTACATGGAACACAGAAGGATCGCCATCCAGAAGTGGGCAGCCTCCAGCCCCGGGATGCTGGCCAAGATGAAGGAGGGTGGGCTGAGGTCAGAGCTGTTGGGGAAGGGCATGGCATGTGGGGTGGAAAGCAGTCATGCTATGCCACGGCACATCCTCTGCTGCAAGGGAAAGAGAAACAGCAGCTTTATAAATCCCTTCCCATGTGAATCCCGTGCGGCTGTGCCTGTGAAATGCAAGGGAATCTCAGAGTTGCCATACTGATACAGAGAGCTTCTCTCTATTTCTCTAGCCTGCTATGCCTATATGCAACAACACATGCAGCCACAAAATGGTGGCACTTGAATTTGAACAGAAATTTTCTGAATTCTTTTAAATGTCGAACACTGTAAAATCAACATTTTAAATTATAAACCCGACAGCTGAACTTGTTTTCTATTCTTGTCAAGGGGAAAAATAAATAAATAAATAAATAAATAAATAAATAAATAACGACCAAAAAACCAAACAAACAAAAAAAAACCAAACAAATTTTTAGTCTTCTTGTTAAACTTCAGTTCTGCTTGAGTTTTTCCACATGTGCTGCCCTGCCCCATCAGAAATGTCCTCTGTGAAACTGGCTGTGCTGCATCCCATGGTCCACCACATCCAAGTACTGCAGACACGCACAGAGAGACACGCACATTTATTTGTTTGAACACAAAGATTGGATTTTTATCCTTTCTGCCTGAAAACACATATGAAAATACCAGAATATCTGCAGAGAAAAAAATCTAATTGTTCACCTTATTCTGTAGCTGTAAAATTTCCAGGAGCGCTGTGATCCAAGGAGAACGGCCAGGAACTTGTGCAAAAGCCCTTGATTTAGGTGTCTCTCTATTCTCAGGGATCAGATTTTTAAAAATATCGGGGTTTAAGAACTGTTGGGATGGAGCGTCGCAGGCTGGTGCGAGGGCGGTGTTGGATCCCCTGCGCAGGCAGCCTTGGCAGGGGACAGGGGTGCAGACCCTGCCGGCTCGCAGCCCCCCGACCAAAGAGCAGGGAGGGATTTTCTCGAGGCCCCCCATTAACGCGGGATTTCACCTCTCCATCCCCGTGCAGAGAGTCAGCCGCCGGCCGTGCCTGCGCTGGGATGAGCCCAGCCCTGCCCCGTACAGACGGCACGAGGCCGAGCACGGAGCTGCCACCTGCAGTGCTACCGAGCTTCCTGATTATTTCCTCCATGCCCTATCTGTGTAAAACAAGGATGAAAAATGTTTTTATGGTGAGCTCTGCAGTCTGTTAATACAGATAATACATTTAACTGCACATCTGTGGTAAGGCCCTTATCCTAAAATAACAATCATGATTTATTTTCCTGATGTGCAGTTTTTCCATTTTGAATCTCTAAAAAAATAAGACTCGTACTGTAGCTTTTTATACACAATTTACGAACAACGTAGTTGGACTGGTACTGTGAAGCTGCCTAAAAGCTATTCTAGTGATGAAATTTTCAGCAAACCACTTACATTAAGATGCAAGCTGAATGAACAAAGCACTTCAGTAATTGCCAACAAGTATCTGAGCCAACTTACCTGCCAGCCACTGAGGTGTAATTACCATATGAGTCTCACTGTAAAATATCTGCCATCCTATTCATTTCTTTTGAGAGAATGTGGTTGTGAGAGACAGACACACAAAGTAAATGATCCCTGGATGCTTCAGTTCCTCTTTAGATGTTTGGCACTGATAAATGCACCAACATTTTCAGAAATGACTAATGATTTTGAATTGCTGGGGGAATGAAGACCAGGTACTGTAAGGACCTTGCTTTCTGTAGAGATGAAAACTGGATCTGTGTCTTTAAAAACACCATTAAAAGCAGATATATTTTCCTAGGGTGACCCTCCCACCAGCAAGCTCCAGTGACTGCATTTACCAAGAGATAAGCACATTCAGCCAGCAAAACCATCCAAGCCAGAGGACCACGAGCAGCAGCCACAGAAGCTGATCTCAGTAAACACTCGTAAACAACAACCAGACTTGTCCCATGGAGCCAAAACTGTCCTGAGACCAACTTCCCAGGTTGGAGCAGGCAATGGGACAGTCTTCACCATCTGAATCCAGATCTGCACTGCTCCCTCCTGCGATGTGGCAGTTAGAGGGGAGTATATATATCCTCCCTCAGAAACCCTCTGAGCCATTATAAGTGTGTAGCCATTTATCCATAACATCTCAGCAGAAAAAAAGTATACATCAAGACAAAATGCTACTTCAGAAGGAAAAGAGGAAAGAAAAACCAAAACCACAAGGCATCACTTAAACTCAAAACATTTTTGAATAAAAATTAAAATTAATCTTAACTGACAGTTTGATCAAATGCATTTTGTTTCTGTTTGGTTGGTTGTTTTTTTGTTTGGTTGGTTGGTTTTTTTTTTTTCCCTAGCTAATTGTCATCACTCTGCTATTTTATAAATATGCTCAGGTCCCATCTAAGTCAGTCACACTGGTCAGGCACTTGCTGCTTTTGGGGTTATACAAGCTATGCCTGTACTAAAGTGAGCAGGACCTGGCTGGAGCCTCATCCCACCTCCATCCACACCATTAACCCATTCCTCACCTCCGGAGACATCCCTGGCAGCTGCCAGCACCCAGGCAGCATCCAGGCAGGAATGAGGGAGTAGCACCAGTCAGGGAATAATGTCCACTGGCCTGTGGAGTAAAGCCATGCTGGGTAGGAAAGGAAGAAAGGATAGATGTGGATGTGGCCAAAAAGCACCAGGTGTCTCCAGGACAGAGAACTGTCTTTATCCTTCTTTTTAAAAAAAAGACACAAAAAAAATAGACAAAGCCACAGAGCACAGCAGGGACTGCAGCACAGCTCTGCATACATGAGGGTAACAGCAGTTTCTCAGGGCAGCGCCGGTGCACAGCGCCGGGCTCAGAAAGGGCTTGGGCTGGGAGGAGTTGGCAGTGGGATGGCAGGAATGGCCTTCCTTCTCTTCTCCTTTCTCCTTCTCCTTCTCCTTCTCCTTCTCCTTCTCCTTCTCCTTCTCCTTCTCCTTCTCCTTCTCCTTCTCCTTCTCCTTCTCCTTCTCCTTCTCCTTCTCCTTCTCCTTCTCCTTCTCCTTCTCCTTCTCCTTCTCCTTCTCCTTCTCCTTCTCCTTCTCCTTCTCCTCCTTCTCCTTCTCCTCCTTCTCCTTCTCCTCCTTCTCCTTCTCCTTCTCCTCCTTCTCCTTCTCCTTCTCCTCCTTCTCCTTCTCTTCTCCTTTCTCCTTCTCCTCCTTCTCCTTCTCCTTCTCCTTCTCCTTCTCCTTCTCCTTCTCCTTCTCCTTCTCCTCCTTCTCCTTCTCTTCTCCTTTCTCCTTCTCCTCCTTCTCCTTCTCCTTCTCCTTCTCCTTCTCCTTCTCCTTCTCCTTCTCCTTCTCCTTCTCCTTCTCCTTCTCCTTCTCCTTCTCCTTCTCCTTCTCCTTCTCCTTCTCCTTCTCCTTCTCCTTCTCCTTCTCCTTCTCCTTCTCCTTCTCCTTCTCCTTCTCCTTCTCCTTCTCCTTCTCCTTCTCCTTCTCCTTCTCCTTCTCCTTCTCCTTCTCCTTCTCCTTCTCCTCCTTCTCCTTCTCCTTCTCCTTCTCCTTCTCCTTCTCCTTCTCCTTCTCCTTCTCCTTCTCCTTCTCCTTCTCCTTCTCCTTCTCCTTCTCCTTCTCCTTCTCCTTCTCCTCCTTCACCTCGTCCTTCTCCTCCTCCTCCTTCTTCTCTTTCCCCTTCCCCCTCTCTCCATCTCCCATTCACCCCTTCCCTTCTCATCCTTCTCTCTTTCTCATCCTTCTCTACTCCTTCTCCTCTCCTCTCAAGAAATGCCTCTGTTAAGTCTCACACTGCTCTTCCCGTGCCTCATAGGAAATAAATCCGCTGGCAAGAACTGTAAGTGATCCCATGTTACAAAGCAGAGAGCTCAGGGCACCACAGAATAGGAATCAGCAGCTTTAAGCAGTACATCCATCTCTTGTTTCTCTCACACAGATGTTAAACCACAATGAAGTGTTCCATTCCCAGAGACAGCCACAAAGGTTTTTGAACATATGTTCCTAAAAGACAGTACCTTATACAGAGGTTCCCAAATCTCGAGTGTCTTCCTGGTACCCTCCAGCTACACATGCTGGGAAGCAAACGGGGCAGCACATGAAGCTCTGCTGAACTGGGTGATGGAGATGCACCAAATGCACTGCAAGCCTCACTCCACTCCAGTCTCCAGCTCTGCTTATAAATGCACTAATAAATCTCCCACACATTTCCTCCCTGGCTGTCTCCCCTGAATGTTTGATTGCTGTGGCAAAGGCTCCTTGGGCTTTGGCTGTTTCAGAGAATGGCTGGAGCCAGGAAGCACAGATGTCCAGGGACAAACTCTGGAAGTTTTCAGAATGGGAGCAGGGCTGTGTGAGGATGCTGCAAGATAAGCATCTCTCCAGCAAAGCACTTTTCTAGGTTTTTCTGCTGAAAGTTGTGTTTGTTCCCTTACGTTGATCTTTCCTCTGATAACAGCTGGCTACTAGCACCAGGTTAGACCTTAGATGTTTTGAACAAATATGCTCCCGTTGGGTGCTATCTCAGTGCAAAGTGGACCTCCACCCCAAGACCTGCTGTGACAGGGCTCAGGCAGAGATTCTGCGGGTGGTCTGCTGAACAGTATTTCACCCCATACAAGGGCCCACTGGGATCCTCACCAAAATAACTAACACAAAGCAAAACAAGCAGTGGCCTGGGAATCCTCCCCGCAGGACTCTTCCCTCCTCCCTTTCCAATTTTTTATGGAGTTATTCCCTCATTACTCTTCTCTCTCTATTCCAGGTACTGCTATGTGTAGAGTAGAATAGAAGATGCTACTCCTGGGTTAGTCTGAAGTGTGAAGTGCTTAGCAGCAGGCAGAAACAGGCCAGTTCTGGTGTGTAATCCTGTCCTGAAACCTTCTGCTGCTTCACCCTTCCAAGGTGAATATTTACCATTTCTTCTTATTCTCCACCATGGTCAAGATTGGCCAAAATATGGCTTAAGATCAACAAAAATACAGCTCCATAATTTGAAGGCATGAAAGATCTGGGGCCATTTTATTCTGCCTGTGGGAGGACGCAAGTTGGGAGGATCATGAAACCTTTTTGCATGCCTGGCTGAGACCCATCTTACAGCAGAAAAACAAGATGCTGGGAGACACTATCACCTCCCATCTGTGGACTGCCCTGGAGATGTCCTCCTGCCATCCCTCTGAGGGCTACGGTCAGTACCTGGCAGATCTCAGCTGGAAGATTGTAGTACACGGTCCTTAGCGTTAGGAAGTTTAGCCATTACTATTATATTTTTGAAATCCCTTTTTTTCAAAAAGAGAGTTAACCATACCAGACCTCCAGGCACCATCCTGATGCATATCTAAGTCATACAATTCAGTGCTCATCTACAGCAAATCCTGAAGATTTTAAACAACTCTAACCTAATATCTCTGCATCATAGAAACAGAGAAAAAAATGGCTTCATCGAGTCTTTTGACCTTTTGCAGCAAATAGATGTCTTTTATTGAAAATATTGCACACATACATTACACTCAATGCAAAGCAATGGCTGGAACATTAGACTTGGCAAGATGGTCAGACTCAATGACATCAAAAAGAGATGCAAAAGCAGCACTGTTTCCATTGCTGTAGATGTGTGTGGCACTTTAGAAACATATATGCAGATGAAGGCTGAGCCTTTTTTTAAAAAGGACTGAGAGTGCTGTGGGCCCACTTAACAGGACTTAATCTTCAGAAAATCCTCTGTGCTCAGCCTCTGGAGCTGAGCTCCATCTTGTGGGATGTTTCCAGTTGGACAACTAATGACTGGGATATACAGAGTGGCTTCAAACTCTTGGCCCAAGCCCTGTCCTGCTGAGCTTGCTGCCCAAGTTAGCTGTGCTGTAGCACGCGGTGAGGGAACGATGATCCCTTTCAAGGGAGTCTGAGTGAAGCTTACACGCTATTATCTGGCGACTAGAGTTTGCATAACATGAGTTGCACAGGTTCCTTGATCCACCCCATCACATGACTTGAAAAGAGAAAAGTCATGCTGCCCATTTTTCCTTAATCGTCTCCCTCTAACTGGGGCTTCCATCTGTATATATTGCTGGCATTAATGCTTGGGGAGTTTGCAGGCTGCTGGAAGGGATGAAAGCATCATGCTAGGATGAAACATGGAAGATCACAGCTCTGGGTTGAGGGACAGCTGAGTGGATCTGAAGTTCTTTCATCTGGCAGTGACCTGCGTGGATGGAGCACTAAGAAACCAGCCCACTAGCATGTTCTGGCAGAATGGGTGGAGAAAGCTACCAGTCAGATTCACAGTTCCTTCGCAGTGCCCTGAACAAAGCCTCACGGATTTGGCTGGATTTTATGCTGTAGATAATGGGGTTGAGAGCAGGAGGAATTATAAGGTAGGTGTAGGCCACCAAAGTGTTAACCAGAGGAGGAACATTCTTTCCAAAACGATGGATCATGGACAGTCCGATCATTGGGATGAAGAACACGAGAACAGCACAGATGTGGGAGACACATGTATTCAAAGCCTTGAGACACTCCTCCTTGTTTGCAAGGCTGATAACAGTTTTAATGATCAGGATGTAGGACAGCACAATGAAGATGAAGTCCATCCCCACCGTTGATAAGAGAATAATCATACCGTAGAAGACATTGACTTTTATATCTGCACATGCTAGCTTCATTATATCAGGATGGAAGCAAAAAGAATGAGAAAGCTCAGTCTTCCCGCAATAGGTTAGTCTCTTGAGCAAGAAGGGTATGGGAAGGAGGGAGACCATACCTCTCAATATAATTGCCAGACCTATTTTTATGACAGTCGTCTTGGTCAGTATGGATGAGTGTCTCAGTGGATGGGAGATGGCAATGAAGCGGTCAAATGCCATTGCCAGGAGCACAGAGGATTCAATGAAGGACAGTATGTGGATGAAATACATCTGAGTGAGGCAAGCATCAAAGCCAATCCTTCGCATATTAAACCAAAAAACGCCCAGAGTAGTGGGCAGTGTACATAGAACCAAGCCCAGGTCAGTGACTGCCAGCATGGAGAGGAAGTAGTACATTGGTTCATGAAGACTTTGGGTCTTCTTTATGATGAATAGGATCATGCAGTTTCCCAAGAGAGCAATAAGGTACAGTGCACAGAAAGGGATGGAGATCCAGTGGTGAAGGGCTTCCAGGCCTGGGATGCCCATCATGAGGAAAGCTGAAGGCTGATAGAAGGAGCCATTGAATTCCCACGTGGTATGTGAGTCATGCTCCATCCCAGCTCAGCTCTCACATGACCTATACCTAAAACAAATCAACAAGAGAAACTCCACGTAGTTGGACTCTCTACCGAATATAGAAGTGGGTAATGACAAGAGCCACATCCCTCCACCTCCCCGCCAACCTATGCAGATGTCCCCATGATGTTTAGGGCACTGTTCTAATTACGATAGTGTCACATGTGACTACACTCTTGTTCATCTATTAAACTATGAAATGAAGGAAAAAGGATAGACAGTTTTTCTTAAAAAAAAAGAAAAAAGGGTAAAAATATTTTTTTTTCTCAAAATGAAGGTGAAAACATTCCTGGTGAGTGCTACTGTTTCACGGTTCCCCCCAAATTCCAAGGGTTGAAATGCTCAATTGAGTGAGCAAATGCTTTTTGTGCAGTCAACCCAACCGAGACTGAGCTGCTAAGAAGCTGGCTTCTTTTTGGTGCTATCTGGAGATCAAAGGACATGAAAATGGTGAAAGCTTAACTCTGACTTCTTAGTTAAGAAATCAACATTGGAAACAAATGCAAAATATAACAGAGAATTGGACATGGAGATGCTACTGCTCTCAGCTCAGAATATGGCCACAAGGGTAAGGTGGATTTTCAGCAGCTCTCACATCCAAGCTGTTGTTCATTTCATAATCTACCTTACTATCAGGTGAAGGGAAATAAATGAGCAAAACCTCACTTGTGTGGTCCCCGTGACTTTATTAATAACAGACAAATGCAAGCCAAAGCACAAGACGTTTCAGGTTGAGAAGCACTGGGGAGGCACCCACGGGAAGTCTCTGGGTGCGAATCAGAGGGGAGGGGCACAGGGGATACAGTGGGGTTTTTACACAGGGATCAAGTGCATGAGGTGAGTGAGGCCTTTACAGAAACCTGGCCGATGTCTACTCTAGTGAGGTCAGCAGAACGCCACTGAGATGGATGGGAGCTGGAGAAATGCCCTGGGGTAAGAGAGCAAAGAAAGAGGCTTGTTCAGCCCGGAGAAGAGGCAGCTTTGCAGGGACCCAACAGCAGCCTGCCCCTACCTACAAGGAGGTTATCAAGAAGGCTGAGCCAGGCTCTCCACAGCAGTGCATGGCAGGAGGAAGAGAGATAACAGGTATAAGTTGAAACAAGGGAGGATTAGACTGGATATAATGAGCAATGTTTTCCCGTGAGGAGCACCAAGCATTGGAGCAGGTTGTCTGGAGAAGCTGTGCATCTCCAACCTTAGAAGTTTTCAAGACCCAACTGGATAAAGCCATGAGCGGCCTTGTCTGACCCCATAGCTGGCCCTGTTTTGAGCAGGATGTTGGACTAGAGATCTTCTGAGGTCTCTAACCATAGGTTAGAGGAGCAGATCTAACCATAGGTTTCAGTCCTCTTGGAGGATTCAGCCTCCTCAGCATAATCCAGGTTCCTACAGTGTCCATGACAATGCACCCTGGCAGAGATGCTGGAGGGGCTGATGGGGTCCCCGAGCCCCCTCTGTGCCTTCTGTGACAGAAAGACTGGAGTGGATGGAGGAAAGCAGTGAATGTGCAAAACAAGAGCTAATTAAAGGAAAAGAAATATTTGTGGTTTCAGTCTTAATGTACTTTCTGTAAGATACAAAACAAACAGGTCAAAGAGTGTCTGAATCGTGAGCACGAGGATTTACCATAACACGGGTTATTTCTGAATAAACACACCTATCTTCCATGATGTATTTATTAAGTTCCTAATATGATTTTGCTCCATTAGACTCTCAGCCTGCCTGAGAGTCTAATGTGGCAATAAATCCCAAAACTTAGCAAGGATAAACATCTTCCTGCTCCAGGGCAAAAGCAACATGTAACTGATGGGAGCTGGGAAAGACCCAAAGTAATTTTATTTCCTCCAGGCAGGACCACTTTATCTTCACTGAGAAGTCACACGTCGGTATCAGGAATCGCCTTGGCTGGTGTCAGTTGCTGAAGGGACAAGTCACAGCCCTTCTTTGGGAGACCTTTGTGGGGGAACGAGATGGCTCAGGCGTGGGTGGGCAGCCAGCGTCTTCCCTACTGCATCGACAGCGGTCAGCGTTGGCAAAAGCAAACTGTCCAGAGGTACCTCTGGTCCTAAGTAGAAGCTTGGAGCTCCCCAAGAGGTAAGAGAGGGCCCTTTCTGACAATCCAACATCTGAGCAGTGAGCATTAACCTGCAGACTCCTGCATTTCACTCGCACCTGGAGGCTGGGTTAAAAAAAATGAGAAAAACCCAAGTGCGTGCATGCCTGTTTGTCTGTCTAGCTGTGTCCCTAGACAAACAGCAGCATCTGGCAGATATCCAGAACTCTCAAAGATATTGAGATTCAAGAGGCTTCCAGGAACTTGGAGGTGGATAAAGAGGAGAGACTGCTGGAGCACAGTGGGCAAGAAAGGGTTGGTGAGGTCTCACTGGGGTCTGTAAGGGATGCTCCTCCTGCAAGGGAACCTCCATGCAGACCTGAATTTGTTGGACACCAGCAACTCCTATCACACTGCACAAAATTATTTAGAAATGGGCTTTACTAGCTCTGCTTCTCTCTGAACTACTCTGGTTCGTTATGTGCTCTTACACAGTACAGATACTGATCCCACTCCAAGCAGTTTTCTTCCCCTCCATGTTTTATGTGCAGGTGTGTGTGTATATATATGTGTATCTATAAACAGTATATTTAAAAATATATAAAATACATAGAATATATAAAATATATAAACAAGCATGCATGCTTATTTATGTTTATGTACATTTATATGTGTATATATAACATATAGCACACATATATAAGTTACACCTCCTAGCTGACTATCGTGGGACAGCAATTACACCTCATGGACGACATGGTGCTGTCCCTCCTTCTCCAGCCCTCAAAAGCCACCTCCTGGTTTCTTGCCAGTCTCTGACTTCGATTTTCACCAATAACTTAAGCAAACTACTGGTGCTTTAAGAGTTCTTTTCAGCGTAGGGCAAGAGCAGGGCCCTGGGAGCTGGGCCTGGGGAAGGATGAGACCAAGAGATCTGCTTTTTTCCCCAAGAGGAGAACTGGCCGTTTTCACAATTACATCGCTGCCAAATCAAGCATCCAGCGAGGGCTCAGCCGCTCCATGAGGGGAGGAGGATTAGCAAAGGGGACTCTGGGGACGCAGCACCCACAGAGGCGAATTTTTGTTGACTACCCAGGCGAGGACAGGAACGTGCCGTTCCCGCCAGCTGAGCCAGGCCACCAAATAGTGGCAGAACAGGCTGACTCTTGCACAAAGCCCACAGCACAGCAACAGTCAGCACCACGATGGCCGGACCTTCCCCGGCTGTACCACAGTGCCACCACCGCCTGAAATTACAGCCGCCCGCTTCATCCCGTACACCCAACCCAGCGGGTGCTGTGGCGCGGCGTGAACCTCCCAAGCCGTGCTTCGGGGGCGCACGGCCCCACCCGCGGGGGGGGTCCAGCCCCATAAACCACAGCCGCCGCTCTAGGAGAAGAGGAGTGCGATGACGGAGAGGCTGCCGGTCGCCCGGGCTACTTACCGAGCGCGGCGGCGGGGGCCCAGGGGCTTTACGACCTGCGCAGGCAGCACGACCCCGTTGCGAGGCAGAGGAAGAGCGTGCATCCGCGTCCCGGCGTCGGGAGGGCAGCGCTTATAAGGCGCCCCGAGGACTGACCCTGTCCAATCACCCGGGAGCCGCGGGGAGCCCAAGCTCCCCATGCGTAAACAGCATGAGGCGTACCAGTGAACACAGTGTGTGAAGTAAATGATCTTTACCGCTTATGATGCTCTCCCAGCAGGCATGATTTTCTCCTGATAGTTTATTGGGCGACATGTTTATAGCTCCCGGTGATTTATGGCTGGCAATGCTGCAGCATGCTGTCAATGCGCATGGTTTTTATTGTGAGAATGGATCTGTAATGCAAATAATAATAAATTTTGCAAGAAGAGTGTTTGCAGCATCTCTCTGAGGGAATAGCAGAGGTGAAGTTCTAGCTGTCCCCCAGTGACCAGCGAGACATGAAATGTTTAATTAAAACCATGATATATTGCACAATAAAAACAAACTAAATATTTCGAAGCCAAACACAGACACATTAGCGGATATCCTCTCAAATGGCCCAGAAGCCTGTTGTATCTAGATGTCTTTGTGGTAACGAGTTTGTCTTTGCCACCTCAGCTGTGACATGGAAATTGCTGTTAACCCCTATGTCTGTGGCTGCCCAGCCAAGAGACAGGAGAGCTGATGGGTTTGCCCATTCTTGTAGGAGGTGTCTGTAGTAAATGCAGCCGCTGGACCTACGAGATATTTCTGCAGCCATAAACCAGGCTGTGCTGGGGTGCTGCCCACAGTGGACACCAGTAAATCGTTATCACGGTCCCTGGCACGGTGCTGACTGGAGCCAAGAGGCGCTTCAGCAGCTCCCAGGCAGGGGTGCAGGGGTCTGCACGGTGTCGCTGCCTCGTTTTAGAGGTTAAAGGGTTTGTTGGCATGGCCCTGGTCTACCTGGTGCTGGCTGGCCCCAGTGCCAAAGAACAAGCCAATTTACAAGCATTAATTTTAGGTAAAACAGCTACCTGCTCCTACCTGCTTGTTAAACCTCACGGCCAGGCTCATGGCTGAATACACTGAGCCTTCATGATACTCGTCCCAACAGTCCTGGCAGAGGTTTGCTGTCTGTAGATGTGCCTGATGTGAAAAAAACAGAGGAAGAAGAACTATTGAAGCTAGCAAATGTCCTGGAGCAAGTGTGCTCAGAGGAATAGACTAGAATAGACTAGAATAGACTAGAATAGACTAGAATAGACTAGAATAGACTGGAATGGAATGGAATGGAATGGAATGGAATGGAATAGAATAGAATAGAATAGAATAGAATAGAATAGAATAGAATAGAATAGAATAGAATAGAATAGAATAGAATAGAATAGAATAGAATAGAATAGAATAGAATAGAATAGAATAGAATAGAATAGAATAGAATAGAATAGAATAGAATAGAATAGAATAGAATAGAATAGAATAGAATAGAA